TAATGAGGGGCTCGGTTGAGAGAATGAACAGAACTTGTGTATTTCCCCCTGAAACTTTCCAGCCTCATTTGCTATAATGTCCAGACACTCCATCTATTTTTGCTTCTTTCCTTAATCATTTCACCATCTATTTCAGAACTTTCTTCTCTTCCTACCTGTACATTCTCAAGGGATAATCTTTCTGTTCTATTTTAGAGCAAACACCAATTTGTTTTAGGTAGTAATAGCTTAAATCCTAATTATCTGCTCTATACATCCTATGCCTAACTTTTTATTCTTTACAAACATCTAAATAACAAACATGTCAGCCTCAGGTAGTAAATAGTATCGTTGTAAACAATCATTTTATTTGAAGTAAGAAGAGTTGTGTTGGTGTGAAAATAAATAATATGTAACATTTTCTGATCATCTTTTTACGCTATGGAAGTTTAAACTATATAACGTATTATTTTACTTATTTAACTTCTCTGTGAAACCCTAGTCATTTTAAATCATGGAGTGATCACATAGAGCCTCCTATAATATCGACACATATGTTATTTTTATCATATCATACACACAAACATACCTAAACTCAAGCAAATGAACATCCTTGCCTAGGGCCCCATGACAAGTAAGTGGTCAGATGAAAACTGAATGATCAGGGAAGATTTCTTCCCTTCTCCAAGAAAGTAAGGGCTCTGGAAAGATGACATACAGTGCTTATGACATGTCAAAATATAAACCAAGCCTTGCCTAAACAACACACATCCCCTGGAGAATTAGGCAATTTTACTACAGCTATGTGAGTGACCTAAGGGCCGCATCAGAGAAGGATCAGTCTACAGAAGGAAGACTTGGGAAGTGAGTTCACCTCCCATTTCATACAAAATAATGACTATCATATGTGATATCTCTCTGCTTCACTCCACAAGCCTCCAAGCATCTGCATTCATCTTTGCCTCTTTTTTTTTATCATGTCAAGAGACAAGACTTTTCCCCTAAGTCCAAGGTTTGTCTTCGCTTATGTTCTTCAGAGACCTCGCTCAATCAGTTATCCCTTGTTGGCTGGGGTGTTTTAATATTTCTTTTTCTTCTAGAATTTTCATCCCTGCCTAGAAATATATTCAAACCACACCTCTTTTTTTAAAAGGAAAGCATTCTCCTTTTTAAAGTTTGCTAGAGAGAGTATGTACTCAATGGAGAGAGGCAGAGGGAGAGAGAGAAAGTGAGAATGCAACTTCCATAGGGGATGGTCATACCACAATCCTTTCTGCTCCATTTCTTCTTCCTGTGGAGATTTTGAGCACACATGCACACACACACACACACACACACACACACACACACACACACAGCTGACATGCTTTTCTATCTGGCAGGACTAGGACTTGAACCACGCAGTTGGCAATGAGAGTTCCAGCCACCTGAACCACTATGGCAGAGGTTGGCCCTAAAAACACTCTTAAAAATAAATTTTTCAAGCCACTTTCCATTTACAGTGTAACTCTGCGAAGAAGAAAAAAAAATCTGGTAAGTAAGTATTGACTCTCATCCTTCGCTCGCTACTCCATGGCAATTTAGTCTCCACCTGGCAAGGCAATGAAACTTAAGACTTCAACCACACAAATCCATAGTTTATATTGATTTTGCTTAACCTGGTCCATGGCCTATTTATCTATCCAATTTCTTAGGATATGGTTTCTCTTGGCCATATCAAAACTATCGCAAGGTCAGCATGAAAGGAAAGGAAAGGAAATTTAACTCATTACCTCCCAGACATGCCCTCTGTCTAATCTTGGTCTGAAAATTCTGTAGCTTTTCCCCCATTTGACCAGCTTCAAAAGAGATTATACACAATGCCATCCTCTCCTTCACCTTCTAATTACAGTTAGCGTAGAAGTTCTATTTTGTCCCTTGACTACTCCAATTATCAGGCTAGCCAGTTAGCATGTTGGTTAAGGGAACAGGATTCCACATGTTTGAATGCATGATGTGAGGCCTGGACCTGGCATTTTGAAAATCACACCAGGTGTGTGTGCAGGTATGCCTGAAACCGCAAGAGAAGAAAGGATTGTGACACAATCATTTCCCTGGGAAGTGATTTCTCACTTTTTCACTCTATCTCTCTATGGTAAGTACATGTGCCCTATAGCAAACTGATATCTATAGTATCTATAATATATGTAATTTCAATTTTCCATTTCTCATGTCGTTCTCATCATTTAAAGCTCTCACTATCCCTTGCCTAGATTATTGAATGGCTAACTAGATTTTCCTGCTTCTATCCTGACCCTTCTTAAATCTACCTTGTCTTCTACTATCTGAGTGATTTTTTTTCCTAAAAGTTAAAGTTATCTTAAATCTGTCCATTAAAATAAATGCAAGCTTAGCCTAGCTGCAATAGCATGCATCTTCAGTCCCAGTGACCCTGGAGACTGAGGCAGGAGAACTACAGTAGAACAAGACCCTATCCAAAAAAAAAAAAGAAAAAAAAAAAAAAAGCAAATTCTGGCTCTGCGGCATGATATATCCAAGTCTTTTATCATCATCATCTAATCATGACTATGACTATATTTCCAACTTTATCTTAGTCAATTTCCATTTCCCATATCTATTCCCCAGCCACGTCAAATTGCATTTGATTTGCCAAATATATCATACTTTCTCAAGACCATATGATTTTATGTATTTTCTCTTTGCTTGTAAATATGCTTGCCTCTGTTTTTTTCTTCCAGTTAAATTATATTAAAACTTCAAAAATTACACAGCTAGTACATCCCCACTGAAGTCTTTGGCTACTGCCCTACCTTCCTCCAGACTTGTGTTGGTTTTTGTTTTCTATGTCACACAAACTTCCTATGTTGTTTTGTTTCTAGTACTTTTTTTTTCTATGAAATTTTTGCTATAGGGCATGTGCACTTGCCAGAGATAGACAGAGAGACAGAAAGCAATAAATCAGCCCCCCCCAAGTCACCCCCCCAAAAAGTGAGAAATCACCCTCCCAGGCCACACCACAATCCCTTCTCCTCCATTTGCATCTTGGGATTTTGGGTATGCATGCACACACACCTGATGTTGGTTTTAAGCCACCAGGTCCAGGACTTGAACCATAGACGACTATGTGGAAGTCCAGCAATATAACCATTATGCCATTTGCTGGTCCCTCTAGTACTTAGTACTTTCATTTAAAACTGTGGTAAGAACATGAGATTGACCCTCTTAACATTTTTTTTAATTGCCATGAGATACACATGCTCCCCAGAGAGATATATAAAGAGAGGTAGGAGAGGGACAGTGAGAAAGCATCCTGCAATGGGATGTGATCATTCTGCAATCCCTTCTTCCTTTCTCTATCCTTTTAGGATTTGAGGCATACATGCATATGTACCCGAATTATTTTTCCAGCTACAAGGACTGGACTTTAAACCATAGTCAGCCATGTGGGATATGGCTCCCTTAACTACTAGGCTGCAAGGTCAACCCCCTTAATTTCTTACGTGCATAACACAGTATCGTTAGCTGTACACACAATGTTGTACACAAGATCTCTAGAATTTAATCATCTTTCATAACTTAAAACCTTATACCTGTTGAACAGCAACTTCCTATTTCTCTATCCCTTCAGTCCTTGAAATCACCATACTGTTCTGATTCTGGGAGTTTAACTGTCTTAGATATCTCAAATAAGTGGAATCACACAGTGTTTGTCACTATGTGACTGGTTTATTTCATTTAGTATAATGTTTTCAGGGTTCAGCAACATTATCACATATTACAGAATTTCCTTTTTTTATGATGCGATAATATTTCATTGGATAGATGTACCATTATCCATTCACCCTGGATATATAGATTATTTTCACACCTGGACTGTTATAAATAATACTGCCATACACATGGCAGTGCTGATATCTGCTTAAAATTTTGATTCTATATTTTATATTTTTTAATAAGTACCCAGAAGTGTAATCATTGGATTATATTATAAAGCTGAAGTAATTAAAATAGTATGGTACTGGCATAAAAACAGACATAGATCAATTGAATCAAACACGGAACCCAGTAATAAATCCATACTATTCATCAAGGGTGCCAAAAATACATAATGGGGCAAGTATAGTCTCTTCAAAAAATGATGCTGGAACAACTGGATCTCCACGTGCAAAAGAAATGAAGTCAAATCTTTATTATATACCACACATAAGAATCAACTTGAAATAAATTAAACACTGACATGAAAGACCTGAAACTACTAGGTTGTTGGAAAAGTCATGACATATTTTCTATGTTTTTCTATGCCAAAATGAGTCCTGAGTTTTCTAACAACCCAATATAAAACTAGAAGGAAACACAGGGTAAAAAGCTTCCTGACATTGGTCTCAGCAATGATCTTATGATATGACACAGATGGCGCATGGAACAGAAGCAAAATGGACAAGTTGGACGACATCAAACCGAAAAGCTTCTGCAAAGCAAAGCAATCAACAGAGGAACACATCTTACTAGAACTTGTTAGACTGCCTTGTATTTGTTACTATTTTTTTCTTCCTTCAGCCGCACTCTCTACTTGCCAGATTGATGGCCTGGAAAACAAACCCTGTAAAACTTCTGAACCAATGTGAATGATGATTCTTCTTTGGTGATTTTGGCAGGGGTGGGGTGTGTGGGAAAAACTGGTTTGGAAGGAGGAGAACATGGATTTTAGATAAGCTTCTCAGGAAATTCCCAGAATGTCATTGGATATCAAGAAATTACTTCTTGTTTGCTGTTGGTCCCTGGTTTGGAGAACCAACTTGGAGTCACAGCAAAATTGGCTCTTTCTTTCATGAGGAAGACATTTTCCTAAAAGTCAAATAATTTTTTGACTGGTCTTCCTGACTGGTAGACAAGGAAATTTCTACTTTAGCAATGCAGAGATGCTTCTGACTTTTCTTTAGCCACATTCTCATAACCTATCTGTAGAACAAGAAGACTAGAGCTTAAAGACTCTGAAGAACAAAACAATTAAAATGCCTTACCTGAGATAATACAGATATAAAATCAAAGAAGAAATGATGAACAGGAGGGTGTAAAGTAGCACTGTGATCACCACACCAAGAATTCCTGGTTGTTTGGTCCTTATGAATATCCAGTAGAGTTTTGCTGCATCAGCTACAGGAGTCTCCTCACTATGGGTAAGTCGCTGACAAAAGAAAATAAAAATTATAAAACCTTAAGAATCAAGCTGGTGCCAGAGCCTGGAGCTTGAGGTTATTACACCTCACACAGCTGAACTAGTGGTTTGAAAAACATCTATGTGCTTGCATATGCCCAAATCACAACAAATGGAGGAGAAAGGATTGCAGTGAGACCACACCCCATTGGGGACTCCTTTCTCTCTCTCTCTCTCTCTCTCTCTCTCTCTGGAGAGTTCACACAGCCTCTAGCAATTAAAAACAATACAAACAAAATTTTTAAAATGAGAGTGGAAACATTGATCACCATGTTCAATGAATTTAAATACACAAACATTGTATGACACTATAACTTGCTTTTAAATTAAATCTTCTATGTATTGAAAATTGCCAGATCTTCAGTTGCACAAAGGACAAGGAAAGAAGGCTGGATTTTGCATGCTTGATTTGACAGGTTTTTCTCGTTTTTTCCTCTAAACCTTTCAATGCATGTGTTCCACATGCAATGCATAAAATAAAAGTCATGTTTTATTTATATACTATTAACTTCTGAATTTAATGAGCACAAGATACGAAGAAATTAAGTTGATGGTGGAAAGATTCCTTTCTTTCTGAAGCAGATTTGATAGGAATTTAATTTCTGTTATGCATAAAAGAGATGGCTTATTTTAGAAACGTATAAAAAAGTTATCAGGCTATTGAATGCCATCCTGAAAACCAAAGTTTACATTAGGTTAATTTAATACTATGCAGGGAAAGACATACTCAATATTAGATTCAAAATATATACAAGACAATGAGGTCTTTCAAAGCAAGCATAAATTGCTATAGACCTACTGTCTTATCATACAGCATCTTTGACCTTTGGAGTTTATAAAATATGAATGTTCTTTAATTATGACTCTCATAATATCAAGTGGAAATAATATGCAATGTAAATGTGAAGCATTGTATCTTTTCTCCAATGCCAGAGAGAGGGAAGAATGTTTTTAGTTTTTTTCCAGGTAATGTATAAATATAGCTAAAAAGACACTCTTTAAATCAGTTTATCCACATCACTTACTTAGAGATGAAAACAAAAGCCTACCCAGGCTAATTTGAAATTTCCTTATACCAAAATACATTTTAGTATAATTACAGTATTATACATAATTGCTTATATACTTAAGCAAAGATTGCTTACATACTTAAGCAATGACTGGAATTCAGATATTCCAACTCTCAACTACTGCTTCTTTGACAACTACCACCCCAAAACCTTTATTTTCATACTCTGTAGTTAAGTACTCTATCTTGAAAAAAATATTGACTACTATGACTTTAGATAGTAGATTAGAAAATTTGTCACGCATGTCTTCTACTCAAGACATGTTTCTGCTGTTTTTTGAATGGTAAAGAAATAGACATGAAGGGACAGCAGGTGGCATAGTGGTTGTGGCACTACACTTATATGTGGCCAACTGTGGTTTGAGTCCCGGAACTGAGAACTTGAAACTCACACTGGGTACATGTCCAGAATCCTGAGAGAATGGAGGAGAAGGGAATGTCGTGTGGCCATTCCCCTTGGGGGATGATTTCTCACTTTCTCTTTCTCTGTCTCTCTCCATGTCTCTGGCAAGTGCCTATACCCTATAGCAAAACTCTCTCTTTAAAAAAAAAAGGGGGGGGGAAAGGAAAAATAGCAACACAAAATAGACATGGGTGCATATATTTTCAAGAATTATTTACTGAATGGCAATGTTTGCATTCTCCCCTTATTTGATTTTTGCTCTTGTGTGTCATTCATATCTCACCATCTGTTTGAAGAACAAAGTTATATTTACTCTGTATCTTTTAAATCTTGTGCAGGATGCATAGCCAATAAATACATGTTGACTGATTAAAATATTAAGAAGAAAATCTTTCCTTTTTATCCCCATGAAGGCTCAGAGATGGAAAGAATCCATGAACTTATGAAATAATTGATCATAGTACCATTTCTGAGGCCAAAGGTGGTAGTTGGTTGCACTGTCAAACACGGAGCCAGCAAATGGAAAGACGGGCAAAGCAACACTTGCAATATCACCAGCCACTCAGCACTTTATCCCCACACCATTCCAACTGCCATCTCCTTTCAAGTTGCCATGAACGAAATGAATCCAGAAGAGAAAATACCAGTAAAATTAGTTAGCATCTCTCTGGGATGGCTGACCTGGATCAAACACAGACAATCCTCAGCTTTATCTGCTAAAAGGGAGTGCTGAAGGACCTGGAGGTATGAACTCCTGCAACCCGAGTCTCATGAGTGACAGTCAATCTATGATAACTGTGATCCCATGTGGAAGAGTAGTTCTCAAACTTTAATGAGAATCAGAATCACCTGGGAGGCTTGCTAAACTGCACCTTGCGGGGCCCCTTCCCAGAGTTTATGACTCAATAGATTTGGTTCAGGCCCATGATCTGGCATTTCTGTTATGTTCCCAGGTGATGTTAAGGCTATTGGTCCAGGGACCACACTTTGAGAACCATGGCTTTAGATCAGTACTTCTCAAACTTCAAGATACTGTCAAATCACCTGAAGACAATGTTCAAATGCAAATTTTAAATGGATTAGAAACCATGTCCAAATGCATTTCTTTGGGTTTCCAGAAGATTCCAACACTTCTGCTCTGTAGATTACACACACCCTTAGAGATTTTCAAAAGATAACAAGGCAGATGTCATCTGTAATGAAACAGAATGGATTCTAACTGGAGAATCAGTCACTTGTACAAATTTGGAACAAACCTTTGGCTTTTCTCCCCATGTGGAGAGAGAGATGTATGTTCTACTCACTATTAGAATCTGAGTCAGCCTCCAACAGATTTCAGAGCTCTGTACTGGGCCTGAGGTAGCCATGCTGGAAACTATTCTCCTATAGATTACATCAGAGGTCCCAGAGTAAATCCCATCTGCTCATTTTGTCAGCTGCCTTATAAACATGGACCAGTTGGCTTTTAATCTACCCAAGGAACCTTACTGGAATAAGGAAAGGCATCCCAGAAGGGCTGTGGATGTTCCTGCTGCGCCAG